TATTTCTTTAATTTTTTTTTTCACAAGTCGGCTGTCTCCCACCGAGGCAAGGTGACCCAAAAAGAAAGAAAATCCCCAAAAAGAAAATACTTTCATCATCATTCAACACTTTCACCTCACTCACACATAATCACTGTTTTTGCAGAGGTGCTCAGAATACAACAGTTCAGAAGCATATACGTATAAAGATACACAACATATCCCTCCAAACTGCCAATATCCCAAACCCCTCCTTTAAAGTTCAAGCATTGTACTTCCCATTTCCAAGACTCGAGTCCGGCTATATAAAAATAACCGGTTTCCCTGAATCCCTTTCACTAAATATTACCCTGTTCACACTAACAGCTCGTCAGGTCCCAAATACCATTCGTCACCATTCACTCCTATCTAACACACTCATGAACACTTGCTGGAAATCCAAGCCCCTCGCCCACAAAACCTCCTTTACCCCCTCCCTCCAACCTTTTCAAGGACGACCCCTTCCCCGCCTTCCTTCCCCTACAGATTTATTCGCTCTCCACGTCATTCTACTTTGATCCATTCTTTCTAAATGACCAAACCACCTCAACAACCCGTCTTCTGCCTTCTGACTAATACTTTTATTAACTCCACACCTACTAATTTCCACACTCTGAATTTTCTGCATAATATTTACACCACGCATTGCCCTTAGACAGGACATCTCCAATGCCTCCAACGGCCTCCTCGCTGCAGCATTTACAACCCAAGCTTCACACCCATATAAGGGTTGGTAATACTATTCTTTGCCTCCATAGACAATGTTTTTTGTCTCCACAGAAACCTCAACGCACCACTCGTCTTTTTTCCTTCATCAATTCTATGATTAACCTCATCCTTCATAAATCCATCCACTGATACGTCAACTCCCAAATATCTGAAAACATTCACTTTTTTAATATTTTTTTTATTATTATCACACCGGCCGATTCCCACCAAGGCAGGGTGGCCCGAAAAAGAAAAACTTTCACCATCATTCACTCCATCACTGTCTTGCCAGAAGGGTGCTTTACACTACAGTTTTTAAACTGCAACATTAACACCCCTCCTTCAGAGTGCAGGCACTGTACTTCCCATCTCCAGGACTCAAGTCCGGCCTGCCGGTTTCCCTGAATCCCTTCATAAATGTTACTTTGTTTCACACTCCAACAGCACGTCAAGTATTAAAAACCATTTGTCTCCATTCACTCCTATCAAACACGCTCACGCATGCCTGCTGGAAGTCCAAGCCCCTCGCACACAAAACCTCCTTTACCCCCTCCCTCCAACCCTTCCTAGGCCGACCCCTACCCCGCCTTCCTTCCACTACAGACTGATACACTCTTGAAGTCATTCTGTTTCGCTCCATTCTCTCTACATGTCCGAACCACCTCAACAACCTTCCTCAGCCCTCTGGACAACAGTTTTGGTAATCCCGCACCTCCTCCTAACTTCCAAACTACGAATTCTCTGCATTATATTCACACCACACATTGCCCTCAGACATGACATCTCCACTGCCTCCAGCCTTCTCCTCGCTGCAACATTCATCACCCACGCTTCACACCCATATAAGAGCGTTGGTTAAAACTATACTCTCATACATTCCCCTCTTTGCCTCCAAGGACAAAGTTCTTTGTCTCCACAGACTCCTAAGTGCACCACTCACTCTTTTTCCTCAATCAATTCTATGATTCACCTCATCTTTCATAGACCCATCCGCTGACACGTCCACTCCCAAATATCTGAATACGTTCACCTCCTCCATACTCTCTCCCTCCAATCTGATATTCAATCTTTCATCACCTAATCTTTTTATCCTCATTAACCTTACTCTTTCCTGTATTCACCTTTAATTTTCTTCTTTTGCACACCCTACCAAATTCATCCACCAATCTCTGCAACTTCTCTTCAGAATCTCCCAAGAGCACAGTGTCATCAGCAAAGAGCAGCTGTGACAACTCCCACTTTGTGTGTGATTTCTTTATCTTTTAACTCCACGCCTCTTGCCAAGGACCCTCGCATTTACTTCTCTTACAACCCATCTATAAATATATTAAACAACCACGGTGACATCACACATCCTTGTCTAAGGCCTACTTTTACTGGGAAAAAAATTTCCCTCTTTCCTACATACTCTAACTTGGAGCCTCACTATCCTCGTAAAAACTCTTCACTGCTTTCAGTAACCTACCTCCTACACCATACACTTGCAACATCTGCCACATTGCCCCCCTATCCACCCTGTCATACGCCTTTCCAAATCCATAAATGCCACAAAGACCTCTTTAGCCTTATCTAAATACTGTTCACTTATATGTTTCACTGTAAACACCTGGTCCACACACCCCCTACCTTTCCTAAAGCCTCCTTGTTCATCTGCTATCCTATTCTCCGTCTTACTCTTAATTCTTTCAATTATAACTCTACCATACACTTTACCAGGTACACTCAACAGACTTATCCCCCTATAATTTTTGCACTCTCTTTTATCCCCTTTGCCTTTATACAAAGGAACTATGCATGCTCTCTGCCAATCCCTAGGTACCTTACCCTCTTCCATACATTTATTAAATAATTGCACCAACCACTCCAAAACTATATCCCCACCTGCTTTTAACATTTTCTATCTTTATCCCATCAATCCCGGCTGCCTTACCCCTTTCATTTTACCTACTGCCTCACGAACTTCCCCCACACTCACAACTGGCTCTTCCTCACTCCTACAAGATGTTATTCCTCCTTGCCCTATACACGAAATCACAGCTTCCCTATCTTCATCAACATTTAACAATTCCTCAAAATATTCCTTCCATCTTCCCAATACCTCTAACTCTCCATTTAATAACTCTCCTCTCCTATTTTTAACTGACAAATCCATTTGTTCTCTAGGCTTTTCTTAAACTTGTTAATCTCACTCCAAAATTTTTTTTTTTTTCAACAAAATTTTTTGAAAAAATCTCCCCCACTCTTCATTTGCTCTTTTTTTAAATTGTTTCCCACTCTCTTAATTCTCCTTTTTCTCCATATACTTTTCCCCTCCTTGCATCACTTTTCTTTGTAAAACTTCTTTATGTAATTTTTCTCTTACTACTCTCTTTTACATCATAAATTCCACCAATCGCCCCCTCTTCCCCCGCCCCCACTTTCCTGAACCCCAAACTTTGCTGAACACTCTAACATCATTTTTAAAACCCACCCCTTACCTCTTCGACCCCATTGCCTATGCTCTCATTAGCCCCTCTTTCCCCCAAAAGCTGTTTTATCTTACCCTAACTGCCCCCTCTTTTGTTTTTAAAACCCTTCACCCCTCTCTTCCCTGATGCTTCTTTTCTTGTATCCCATTACCTTTTATCTCATGAGCTTTCAACTAGAAAGTTTCTGAAAATTGTGGCCCCTCTTAAAAAATGTAAATCCTGAAGTTACTCAAAGTCTTTTATCTCCAATACATAATCCAACAAAAAAATGTCTTTCGCCCTCATCATATCGTGTTTAAATTATTTTTCCTCTTTTTTTTAAAAAATGTATTCCCTTAAATAAACCCCTTTCTATACAAAGTTCAATCAAAGGGCTCCCTTATCATTTTCATGGGACCCCAAACTTTAAAATACCACACCCCCTCTAAAAGTTTCTCCTCTTTGATTCAAGCCCCCACCAAATTACTCTCTCCCTTTGGTTTAAAGGTCCTATAATTCATTAAATTCTACCAAAATTTTATTCCCTTAAAACCCTTTTCAAATATACCAAACGGGGTTTTTATCCCAACCCCTTTTTTTTCCCTTAATTCTTTTTTCTCAGATTTTTTTTTTTCCAAACTGACAAATTATCCTTACTGTCCTTCCCCTTTTTTCGCTTGATTTAGATTTAAATTTTTATTCAAAAATCTCCTAACCCCTTCCGTTTGTTTTTTTAGGCCGAAAATCAAATTCCTTTATATACTTAAGAATTTAGGGGGGGGGGAAATAAACAATTTAGCCCAGGTAAAATTTTCTTCTCCTGTTAACCCGGGGGGTTCTGCTGGGGCCCATGCCCATTTTTCCCTCACGACCGATTTGGGACCGGATGAGATAATTTTTATTTCCCTTTAAAGGTTAAAGCCCAAAAGGTTTTAAGGAAAAGGAAAACCCGGGATGGATTTTTGGTATCTGTGCCTTTGCAAAAGGACCCTGTTTCACTGGGTTTATTTTACCTTTCTATATCTAACAGAAGAGCAGTTCCCATTTGGGCCAACAATAATTTTGGTTTAAAGTCCTCTGGCATTTTATTAAATGGGATGACCAGTAAAACCACGAATATTAAACTTAAAAAAAAAAAATACAAAAAATACATGGCAAAGTTGTTATTGTTTTAATTCACAAATAAACTCAGTCTTCAATTTTTTCGTCATTATGCATGCTTGCTGCAGGATTTATTTTGTTTGGGCTCACTTACCAAATTGATGCTTTCTTCTTATCCAGGCCTAAATTTACCACTCAACAGTTTATTGATATGAGCTGAGCTCATGGAATAGAACTACAGCATGGACCTGGCTTCAAAGCGTTAGAAATATGGGATGGAACATCTAAGAACCATCCACAATGTGAATTTTATTTTATTGTTTTTAATGCCTAGTTCTATTGGTAATTAATAATGCTAGTCTGATAAAACTTTTATCTGGCATTTTTTTTTTTTTTTCAACAGTGGCCGTCTCCACAGAGGCGGGTGACCCTACCAAAAGAAAGAAAATCCCAAAGAAAATACTTTCATCTCATTAACACTTCACCTCACTCACACTCTAATCACTGTTTTTGCAGAGTGTGCTCAGAACACAACGTTTAGAATGGGGCATATTAGTATAAAAGATACATAACATACCCTCCAACTGCTAATATCTGGCATTTGTATGCATTTATAATGGGAAAAAAATGGCTTTCTGCTTTCCGGCAATGTCTGCTTTCCAGCAGCAGCCTGGAACCTGAAGTGCTGTATAAGTGGGGCCCTACTGTATATTGTACTGTACTTACACTGAAGATATTTCCAAAATCTTTGGTTGAAGGCGTGTGTAGACTACGCCGATTAACCTGGTGCTCATAGCCATGTTGAACAAGAAAATCAAGAATCTTGTCTATGCACTGATTCTTGAAGGCTGGATCATTAATGGGCCTGGTCTCCTTCCTGCTTACAGTACCCATTCCTGTGCTACGTTGCCGTGTCCTTTGACTATTGCTCTTAAGGGGAAACAATTCAGACCAGTTTTGTGTTGCGTTGAATGCCAAAATTCACAATACGTAAGCATGTTAATTTATCTTAAATTAATAATAAAGCTAAGTTCAAAACCTTATCCTGCTAAACAATAAACTACAACACTACAAACATACCAGATTCAGTTATTTTAGCATCACATAAGTAAAACAGTTATGCAAGAGCAATTTAAATATTTAATGGATTCTGAAATCAGTTTTCTATTTATTTGTGTATTATATGCAGAATGTTAAAGTACAATACTTCAACAACCCACCGTCTCGCTCATTGCAAATGTAGCAAAACAACAAAAAATTGTGTATAAAACTGTCCAATAAGACATTTTACAGATCATTATGGTTAACAAAATATTTAAGTCTCCATTAAATTTTCTGATATGCAAAAACAAGTGAGTATTAGGGAATGACACTACTACAGGATATAAGCCTGAAGATGGTTTAAGAAATAAATTGCAATCTTTTTCTTTCAACAAACCGGCCTTATCCCACTGAAGCAGGGTGACCCAAAAAGAAAAATGAAAATTTCTCTTTTTAACTTTAGTAATGTATACAGGAAAAAGGGTTACTAGCCCCTTGCTCCTGGCATGTTAGTCGACTCTTACAACATGCATGGCTTAAGGAGGAAAAATTCTGTTCCACTTCCCCATGGAGAATCAATTGAAATATATACGTATATTTAATTAAAAACAGTGTACAAGTACAAACGAACCTGCTAGCACTGGCGGGAGCTTGAAGAATATTACTGGATGGTCCACTATTTCTATTTGGGGTGAACCGCAATGAAGCCAAAGACAGCCGATTAAGACCTTCACTGCTCAAAGGCTTTAATCTGCTGCCCACGATCTTTGCGCTATCTGGTCGTAGTCCCTTGGCCATGAATGATTTCCGCGCTTGTTGACCCATACTTTGTCTATAAGATAACACAAATAACATTAGGAAAATTTATTTAACCCTTTGACTGTCACAACCCCAAATCCTGAGGTGTCTCCTGGTGTCACAAAATACTTGGAAAAAAAAAATTATTTTTTCTTTTGAAATGATAGAGAATCTTTTCCCGATGGTAATGGCACCAAAAGTACGAAATTTGATAGAAAATTTACGGAATTACGCTTTAGCAAAGTTAGCAATCTCAGCGATATTTATGAATCAGCGATTTCACCCACTGAGCAATATTTTCGACTAATTCCACTGTTCCAATCGACCAAACTCATAGCTATTTCTTTAGAACTCCATTTATTCTATTGATCGAGTACAAGAAACTGCCCATTTACCTATTTCAACTACCCAATAAAGTTGTCAGAAATTGGCAATTTGGCCAATTTCATGCAAATTAAAAAATATGCCAATTTCAAAATAGGGTCCAGAATGAACAATGCAGACATTCCTGGCTCTAAAATAACATTTTCTTCGTTCATCAGTCATGTCTCCAGGCCCCTCTGATATTACTCTTGCTTGCTATTTTGAATTTTTATTCAAACAAAAAATAGAAGATTTACTGTTATGCAGACTACTGCAATACTGTAATAATTGCACAAATAATGTCAACCCATTCATGACTGCATATCAGAATGGCTAGTTGGACATTTATTGGACAATGACGTCATTTGTTTACTCTTGAACATTGGCAAAAATCAAACATTTCCCCTACTTTGAGCTCCATTTTAAGGTCCTTTTCATAGTAAAATCAATCAAAATCACCTCCATTTCTATAATATGTTTTCCATTCTATCAAATGTGACTACGAAAATGTGAATATAACCATAAAAACTATACGAAAATATACCTAAAAGTCGGCGTTTTAATCCAAAAAAACACGGCCAGTTTTTTTTTTTCTCGTTATGCACTGCTTGCTGCAGGATTTTTTTTATATTGCACACACTGACCACACAGACTTATTCTCTCACATGTGGGCCTCCCAGCTTTCTCCTGCTTGATTTGAAGCCACTAGAATTTTTGAGTACAGTATATATACGTCAAACACATTGGCTCGTAAGACATACATATATGACCGAAATAGTCAAAGGGTTACCTTTGATATACCTTTGAAGAATTTCGAGAGTATATCTACTCTCTGAGCCCGGCCATGGGCCAGGCTCGTCTAGTGCTCGCCTGGTCAACCAGGCTGTTGCTGCTGGAGGCCCACTGCCCCACATATCCATCACAGCCTGGTTGATATGGCACCTGATGAAGATACTTGTCTAGTTTCCTCTTGAAGGCTTCAACACTTGTTCCAGCAGTGTTTCTGATATCTTCTGGTAAGATGTTGAAAAGTCTGGGACCCTGGATGTTGATACAGTGTTCCCTTATTGTCAGCACCGCACCCCTGCTCCTCACTGGGTTTATTTTACACTTCCTCCCATATCTCTCACTCCAGTATGTTATGGCAGTGTGCAGATTTGGGACCAAGCCCTCGAGTACCTTCCAGGTATATATTATGTACCTCTCTCTCTCCTCCGCTCCAATGAGTACATGTTCAAGACTTGCAGGCGTTCCCAGTAGTTTAGGTGCTTTACTGGCTCAATGTGAGCCGTAAACGATCTCTCTACATGTATTTGTTCCAGCTCCGATATTTCTCCTGCCCTGAACGGGGCCGTCAGCACTGAGCAATATTCTAAGTGAGGGAGCACTAGCGATTTGAAGAGTGCCACCATCGGCATTGTTTCCCTTGTTTTGAAAGTCCTCAATACCCACCCAGTCATCTTCCTGGCTGTCGTGATCTTTGTCTTATTATCAGAAGGATGTCTAGAACACAGATACAGTAGGGCCCCCATATCCGCTGGGGATACGTTCCAAGAACCTGCCGTGGATACCGAAACCATGGATAGTAGCAAACCTTGTAAGTCGTATATGTACCTACTATGAAGTTTAATTGATAAATTCTGCACAATAAGTGGAGAATTATTCACGGCTTCCCTTTGACTTTAAAGAACTGCCCGATTCTCTACTTTTGCGCTTTGGGGCCATTATTATGCAAAATTAAGAGGCATTTTTGGGCCACAGTAAATCGTGAATAACTGAAACCGCAGATACTGAATCAGTGTATACAGGGGTTCCACTGAATTTTATTTTATTTCATTTAGTTAGAGCTCTTCTCGCATATTCTGAAGAGAAGTTGCAAAAGTTGGTGGAGGAATTTGGGAGGATACAGAAAGGCCCCACTTATACAGCAGGTTAGTTTGGGTTACCACTGTAAAGTGAAACATAGCCTTTTTTTCACTTTCAAATGCAGACAAAAGCCTGGTAACATGTTTACACTATCATATAATAAGCGAGCAACATAACTAGGCCTAAAAAATGCCTCAAGAAGCAAAAAAGATCTCATTTTGCCTACATGATGAGACATCAATAAACAACCTAAAACTAGCACTAGGTGTCACTGACTGGCAGAGAGCTAAATGACAGTAATAATATCGATAAAGATGTCAAATTTTTTTTACATAAAACCCTAAAACTCTATAACAAGCATTGTCCAATCAAAACGAAACAGATCACAGAAAAGAGACTAAACAGCCCGTGGCTAACAAAAAGTATCCTCAAATCTATTAATAAAAAACACCAAATGGAAAAACAGTTCAGATTAGGCCTAATTACTAAAGAATTTACTAAAAGATACACATAAATACTAACAAAACTAATACGAAAATCAAAGCAAAAGTATTATGATAATAGATTTCGTGAAATGAAAGGTGATCTGAAAAGTACCTGGCAAACCCTCTCCAAATTTTGGGCTCTAGGAAACCGTCTGGAAAGAGATAAACTTAACTAAACCAGATGAACCTCACATACAACCTGTAGACACAGCTGACAAATTTAATGTCTTCTTCTCTACTGTAGGATCAAAGCTAGCAAGTCAAATTCCTAGCTCAAATACCCAGCCGAGTGAGTACCTCACTGGCAACTACCCAAATACTCTTTCTAGCTCCAATTCCACTGAAGTCTCACTTGTCATCAAGTCATTAAAGTACAAAGCACGTGATCTAGATAACTTGCCACCATTCATATACAAAAAAGCTGCACTTGAACTGTCACCCATTATTACAACAATGTTTAACAAATCTACAGCATCCTCAACCTTACCATCTATACTCAAGACAGCAAGGGTCACCCCAATCCACAAAGGTGGAGATCCAACTGATTTAAACAACTTTAGACCCATACCAAACTTGCCCTTACTTTCAAAGATATTTAAGAAAAAAATACACAAGCAACTTTACTCCTACCTTACATCCAACAACATACTTAACCCATGCCAGTTTGGGTTTAGACCAAAAAAAAAAAGTACGAATGACTATTATACAAATGCTTGAATTAATATACACAGCTCTTGAGAAAAATGAATATCCTCTGGGGCTCTTTATCGACCTACGAAAAGTGTTTGACACAGTGAACCACAATCTCTTGCACCTCAAACTGAATCATTACGGAATCAGAGGACATTCTCTGGACTACCTAAAATCCTCTCTTAATGACAGACACCAGTATGTACGTATATGCAAATGGAGTCAACTCCACTATCCAACCTGTAGCTGTAGGAGTACCCCAGGGTAGTGTCCTAGGCCCACTCCTCTCTCTCATCTACATCAATGATCTCCCCAATGCATTCCAATTTCTTAAACCAGTTCTATTCACAGATGACACTACATATGTCTACTCCCATTCAGACCCAGCTGTGCTTGGAAACACTGTAAACAATGAACTGCTAAAGATATATGCTTAGATGGTGACCAACAAACTACCTCTCAACATGGAAAAAACATACTTCATGCTGTTTAGCAACAGGGGCTCAAATATCCAACTTAACATATTGTTAAATCATTCCCCTATATCAAGACACACGGAGGGCAAATTTCTAGGTCTTCTTGACTGTAATCTTAAATTTCATTCCCATACCTGTCACATAGCCAAGAAAATTTCCAAATCAGTAGGAATCCTTTCCAAGATATAATACTATGTACCACAAACGACTCTCCTAACCCTGTACCACTCTCTAATATATCCTTACCTCACCTATGGTATTTGTGCCTGGGGCTCAACCACAGCCTACAACCTTAGACCCTTAATAATCCAACAAAAAGCTGCTGTGCAGATGATAACCAGCTCCTGTGCTAGACAGCACACCCGACCACTTTTCAAAAGACTCAACTTGCTAAATATACATACTAGACATGCACTCTTTCTTGTGCCTACTACATATAAAGAACATTAAACTCCACTGTAAACCCTCCCCTAAAACTACTCCTAGACAGCTACAACAGAATGCACAGCCACAATACAAGGCATAAGGCACCTTTCAACATCCCTCGAGTCAGTCTCTTACTATGCAAGAACGCTATTTATTTATTTATTTTATGTCTTTGCAAACAGTACATTGAGATTTTATATTTACAATAGTGGGTTGCAATGCAAAGAGAGCCTCTATTATGCCTAGGCATTATGGGCCAACTTAACATTAATGGCTTACAGACTACTTAACACTAAGGATTTTATCATAGTTGTACAGTAGGACAGTAATTATTTCATAGTTGAACAGTAGATTATTAATTATAAGTGAATTAAATTTGTATAAGACAAATGATATATTCATAGTCTAAAATGCTTTTTGTGAAAACAATGGTTCAATTATATTCCTGTCAACAATGGATAAAAGGTTCAAAGTGATTGTTGAAGTTATGATGTGGGAGTACATAGGCGAGTATGTGTGTACTGAGTACAGTAGGGCCCCACTTACACGGCAGGTTAGGTTCCAGGCTACCGCCGTAAAGTGGAAATCGCTGTAAAGTGGAACACACTTTTTTCCCCTTAAAAATGCATACAAATACTAGATAACAAGTTTACACTAACATATATTAAGTTAGCAAAAGAACTAGGCATCAAAAAACAATAAAAAAGTACAATACACACATAGTGCAC